TAACCTAATAACTTAATTTATATTAATGCATGAAACTATTACAATTATTATATAATAAGATTTAGATTCTGAAAAAAAAAAAAAATCAAAGTTGTAAAAACTTAATATTTTGTTATAATTACAAATATTCCTGAATATCTTTAGATTAGTTAAATATTATAATTATAAATAGCACAATATAAAATATGAATTATTTCTTATAGCTAATAAAATTTAAATTTATCTATCGTAACAAATTTTCAGAAATGTTTTTTTGAACTTTTAGCTATTTGTCATAAATGTTGAAAAAGTTTAAATTATAGTTTATAATTTTATACGGCAGTGATAAAAAGTCAATGTTCTTTAGGTAATAGCATTGATTATAGAATATTCTATCTATAGCCAATGGTAGTAGATACCTCAGATTGTAATTTATAGTTCAAACGCTTGAATTGTAATAAATTAAGTATAAAATAATTGATTTTTTTTTTTTTTTTACAAATTGAAAACAAAATATACTATTGATAGCGAGCCAAAACTATTGACTCTTTCAAAGATATTAGGTTATTGGAGTACTGCTATCTTTCTGACATAGTTTTTGTGGATAACGCTTACGTTAGTCTTAACTCTTTATGGTATCTATTTACGTACGTACATATTAAAGTATTAAGCACGTTCGATCATCTGATATCGTCATAAAACAATATCAGTACTATGATCGAGACAGGTTATGCATCATCTATATTTTATTTGACTTAAAAAGTTAAAAGTGTCAACAAGTGAAAATATTAAAAACACCTACTGTATCATATCTACTTATCTATTAACAATTGTTTGACTTAGGTAAGCATTGTTTAATGAATTAGTATTATAAGCTAGTATTTTAATTTATTTTGCATAATATAAATGCTTTTTAAGACAAAAAAAATTCTGATTTATTGTTCTTTAAAAGTTAAATGCTAAATATAAGTATTATTTTAAATAAATGTTGTTCTACTGTAATTTTATAAAGAACTATAATTTAATAAGAAAATGTTTATTTTTTTAAAGATCCATATTTTTAAAAATTTGTCATTGCACTTACGAAATGGATTGGATTTCAGATGAGTTTATTTAATACAAAATTTCATGGAGTTCATCTACTATAAAATTATTTTTGCACGAAAAACTAAATTGAATTATTATTTAATCACGTGGTAACGTGTGATAATACATTATCACGAAAATCATAAAGAAAAAATATTGAAGTATAGTTTATTCATCAAATAAGTGGTCTATCGCACTCTAATAATTTTAAAGATAATAGCCAATAAGATTAAAGTAAGTTTAAGCAATATTCTAATTGTTTATCATTTATGCATTAATAGATGTAAATCCTTAAATACTATCAATAATGTCAAAAATCTTATATTACTAACTTTACAATAAGCAAAATACTTAGATATGAGTCGATGTGTATGTCATTAGAATGGGCTAGGTTAGGTGTACGTTAAAAAAAAAACAATAGACCATTAGATAGAAAAAAAAAAAAATGTTAAAAACGGATGTTGTAAAATTAATTCTGTATAATATGATACGTTGAAAATAACCTATGTACTTTTATGATTTTTATTTTGAATTTAAATTTTGAAATATTTAATCAAGTGTTTTTAACAGTAGGTATTGAAATATTACCGTTAATTTAAAAAAATATTACTTCCATATAGAAATCACTTTTACTTCGAAATTTGTCAGCAAAATGTACTTCCTATTTATAAAAGTTTATTATCCACATAACGTAAAATAATAAAAATATAAATTTGAAAAAATCAAAATAATATTATACTCATAGTCAATGATTCGAAAAACAAACACAATATTCAACTCTGGCGCTAATAACAACAAATAAGTATACTTTGTAACATACCGCATTATCTGTATGCTAACGATACACTCTTATTATTTGGTGCTTATATACGTAGTTGTTATACGTGTAGATAGATAAAACGCCGAAAATAAGTACCATCCTATTAAAATGAGTAGGCGTATTGACGGTCAACATCAATCATTTGTATACAGCTAAATACTTACACGGTGATTGTTTGTTTGTTTTGTATATACATAGAAAAACGAGTATAATATAAAAACAATAATATCATGCATAATGATGGGCGAAAAATATGATGCGCTGCCGTATGCCGATCGAGTGAATTGCGAGAAAAAAACAAATCGCTATCACATTCCGACTGGCAAATACCTGTGTAAAGGACGCGAGGGGTGACGTTTAATTTTTTTTTCGAAAATTTCGCATCGTACACCTCGTGTGACCGTCAGATACTATACGATACGTCATCAGCGTCATCTGTCGCGGCTCAGAGTTCTGCACAAAAGGTTTCGAGTCCCGTACGTGCACGACCGCGACCAATGGCGTCCGATAATCCGCACCAAGTCGGCGACGGACCTTTGCAGCGGTGCCATTGCGATTATCCACAACCGCCGGACGCCGATCTCATAACTGTGGCGGCCGTTGTTGATTCCGCGGCAGAAGCGGAAGCGCAACGGATACGGAAGCAGCGGCAGCGGCGTGCCGTTGAAAACGAGGCGACTAACGATGGTGCGGCGCGAAAGTCCTTTTGGAAACAGTTCACGACGTTCGTAACGGATTGCGCGACGTGTGTCGGACGCAACGCCAGCCGTCTGTGTCCGGACTATTGTCGGTGAATAATTCGTTTACATAATATTAAAATACTATCATATAGGTTATCTAAACGGCATGTGATCCAATTAACGCGAGACACTCATTATTTCAGAAAATATTTCTTTTACATAATTTTCAGCCATTACTAAAGAACATTAAAAAAAAAAAAAAACCATTATATTGTTTACAATTCTTTAAGTGTTTTTCTCTTTTAAATGATAACTCACATTTTTAATTGCATCTATTATTCAAAGTATTATGATCTATAAAAATCGAATTTCAGAAAACAGTAGTTATTATAAAATTTAAATGACCGTACTAGTGGAACGTCATTTTGCGGGATATTTATATGTATCCATCGTCTACACTTTAAATAACCACTTATAACTTATAAGCTACTAAAAATTTGATTTTTAAGTATCAAATGACCCCGAAAAATATTCTACTATGGATAAGGAATTAAAAATATAGGTATGTTTTATAAGAACATTTTAACGATGACGTTAAGAAAAAATGAATATACATTTTCAAAATTGTTAAATTTTTTGAAATAATGAATGTTTTACGAATATTAATCATCCGCTATACGCTATTACAGTACACAGAATTGTATAAAACATATTGTTACCACTTACTGAGATGAGCTGATTTTACTGTAAATTTTGTTTCTATAGTGTGAAATATGAAAATGTTGTAATTTGTTGATATTTATTTTTTCTTATTATAAATACAAATGATTATTAGTTCTTAAGTTATAATTATAGTTGATACCTATACCTATTTAAAATTATTTTAGATTTTGTGCGGAGCTAGGAATGTATTATTGATTTCACAATGATATATTATCCCAAGCTGATTTTGTAAACGTTTAGTATTATTATTTTTTTTTTTTTTTATACAATAAGACTGAAAATCAATATGGGTTTTTATTTGTTACTCTGCTATAAAAAAAAAGTACTTTATAAATATATAATATTAACTATTATACTTAGTAGGTAATCCAGTTCAAACAATAAAAATACGTTAAAAAAAAAATTAAACAATAATAATTATATTATATAATTGTATCAGTCTTGTCAAACAGTTTAAATTTTTAAAGTATTATATCCTAAATTTTAGCTATAATCCAGGATTAAGATTTATTGATTGAGTACCTATTTCCGAATTTATATACAATGCTATAAATTTAAATATTTTCCTTACTCCGCTCAGTCATATACAATATAAAAAGTAAAAACGTTCAGTTTAATGCTAGTAAAGTATTGAAATATGCTTAACTAAACATTTTGTACAACTAAATTTTTAAATTATAATATGTATGAATTTTTACTAAAATTTAAATTTATATGTCTTATGATTTATATTTATATTTTGTAATAATATAGTACTATTTTTAGATAACTACATTTTTATGGCGATTGACAATTGTAATATTAAACAAAATTATTTATTTTTATTTTTTTTAAGTTAATTTATTAATTAGGAATATGTTCCATTAAAATATACAAATTATAATTAATTTAAAATATAATAAATTTAATACAAATCATTATTATCTTCTTTAAAATTATTGCAAAGTCAATAATTAGTAAATTAATTTGTACATCTACTAGATTCAAAATAAATACATTTTTAAGTTTTTATTTATGGCAAATTTTTTTTTTTTTGCAATTTAACACACATTGACTTTGTAAAGTCAATTTATTTGTCGACTATTTAATGTAACTACAATAATGTACTATCATATGAGCGGATTCAAAACATTTTAGAAATCTAATGGTTACTATATTATAGATACATATTACGAGACTAAATTATGCATATAAATATATTAGATTTTGCTAATTTAAATCTATTTAATAGATACATATATTTATATATTTGAAAATTAAAAAAAAAATAATTGGTATTATTTTATTAAACAGTTAAACGTATTATGATATAGACAATTTAAATTATTTTATTTTAATCATTATTAAAAATATATACGTTTACTAATAACTTATAAGTTATATTTTATTAGATTTTCGAACTTGACAGTTAGTTCTGATAAATACATTCATTGTAGCATTATTTAATGAATTTACAAGTCGTAAATATACAATAAAAGTTAAGTATATAACCAAAAAATTAAATTTGTCTAAAATTATAAATTCCAATCATAATTTTTTATAATATCAGCATTCATTATAAACATTAACTAAATAACAATTATCGTTTAAAAATAACCAACAGTTACTCGGTTTATAATCTATACTAATTGCATACATATGATTTATATATATTATATTTATAATATACATAATATATATATAAGACATAAACACATAAAAATATGTATAACAATAATAATATGCGCATGGGGTGATAAATACATATAGGTATGGTATTTAGTATTCTCACAGTAAAGAATCGATGGTTAAAATATGTTTTATATACATGGTGTAATAAATTATAATATTATAATAGGAAATTATAATAAACACGTTAGGTGACAATTTTTGGTGGGGGAGGGTTGTGACAGTTACAGTTGCGAATGGGCAACCATTTGATCAGCACTTTGGTGGCTGACATTGTTTGCAATTCTCCATCTGAGTTTCGAATTCTTCGATTTGTAGTGTGCAATCAAAAAAGTTGTACTTTTTGTACATCTTGCGTGAAGCTTCTTTTAGTACTGTAGTAGTGTTCGCACCAGGCTCTGTATAAATAGAATACATAGATGAATTAATAATTGAATTACCCAGATCCTATTATATAAGTATGTTGTATAATGTATATACAATAAATCATATTATACAGTGACATTTTTTTGCAACGGTCACCGAGGAAATCATAAGCAATACGTTAAAAAACAATTTAAAGTCTTCCATTTGACATCGGTAAGTGACCATTACTAAACACTTATCACTGTATGGTATGTGTATAAACGATCTTTATGATTATACTCACTGACTGCCAGATGGGCGGCTAATGCGATTTTGTCTGGACTCAGAGCCCATACCCTAAGATTATGCACCCTAACCACGCCGTCGATGCTCATAAATGTTTCTAGGACATCTACAAAATTTACACCTTTTGGCATGCCTTCCATCAAAACTATCATGGTATCCCGGAGTATATTAAATGTAGTGACCAATACCAGTAAGGAAAACAAGAATGTACATATTGGATCTACGATTTTCCAATCAGGCTGAAAAATTAAATAATTATTAGTATACATATTTATCTTTTAATCTATTCTAGTAAATACAGCGATAAACATGGTTGGGTTATATATGATTTAAAATGAAATATGTATTCGTAATTTAAGACATTTTATTATTCATTGTTCAAGTACTAGTGATTTAAATTCCAAGTTAAAAAATATCTTCGATACATTTTTTTGCACCTATTTATATTACTTAAACAAAGAATCAATAAATATGTATTTTTTTAAAAGTACTATCTATTAAGAAGTATTAATGCAGTGTTATAATATAGTATTGATACTTTTTTCGAAAAATTAAAAAACATTTTTTTTTTTTTTTTTTTTAATTTAGCGAGATATAAGACAAACTTAAAGGATCAACGAGTATAACAATATTGAAATGTAATACAAATTAACGTTCACGATTGTTTAACGGTATAAAATAAAAACCAATATTCACAATGTATAAAACAATAATTTAAATCGATGACTGTCAAATATATGTGACTTATTTATTAATATTTTACTAGTAGAATACTATTTATATGTTATATAACCTTAGTTCACGTACAAGGTTTAAACTAACTGCACGTGGCAAATCCAAGTAACAGATTTATATTATGAATCCCGAAACGTACATATATTTATATATATACTTACACGCGTATAAAGTTAATTTAAGTGACCGTATACAGAGAATACAAATATTTTATGAGTCCATTTAAACATATTGCAAACAAACCATCCATTATTGAATTAATTAAAATTAATACATTTGCTAGTGTTGGTTTACACGTTTTGTATTACGCAGTAAATAAAAAGTTAATTTTGTGTTACATTTTTAAAAGAATTATATACAATATTACGTAAAACTTATATTTTTACACTTTACTTATAAACTACAATGTGGGGATAATTTTTTATCAAAATAAAAAAAATTATGTAACGTGACGGAGTAATCGTTATTTGGATTGTTATACACCGCATAACGCTTGGTATCTATCATTTTGTGGATCAGTAACATAAAACGAGTTTAACAATATAATAATATGACAGGATAAAATTGTATATAGGCACGGAGACTCAAAATTCTACGCACGCTGATAAAAATTAAATTTCAACACTTTTAGAAAATTCATGGTATAATAATAATAATAATAATAATCCATTATTATTATACACTGTTATAATTTCCCGACGAGTTAGATAAGAGTACAAAAAAAAAAAAAAAGAATCAAATACCGGTGAGGAATTTTATGTGTATTAAGTATTCAACGAGCGTTAAACAGAATACGTGCTGGATAGCACGTATTTTCTCTTAATATAGTTACCTATACTTACTCTAAAGTATACGATAACAGCGGCAATCAACACGCCAAGGCTCTGAATAATGTCTCCGAGGACGTGTATGTAGGCTGCTCTAACATTGATGTTGGAACTGCTTCGGCCGGTAGCCTCGTGGCTGTGCGATTCGAGACTGCCGCCACCGTGAGAGTGTGAGTGCTGGTGAAGCGTCAAGCCCATACTGTAACAACACAAACGCGTAAAAGCCACTTTAAAAGCGAAACTCATTTTAAAATATTATTACGTTTTTAAACATCGTGTTGTTATTGTATTTGGGACCCCAAGTTTTAATAAATTAATAGCAATATTTTTAATTTAAACTTGACGATAATATGAATAATTTTCATAAAAATCTATAGACATATGCGTTATAATTTTATAACGATGTCTACACATCATTATACACATCATTCTGTCGGTGAAATCATTTTTACATATTATTTGAGTCAAAAAACGAATTAGTTGAATATTTTTGCAAAATAACTTAAAAAGTTGCATGGTTACTATTTTAATATTTATATACATTATACATTTTATTTTATTGTTTTTTTTCCCCGTTTATATATAAGTATAAATATTGTCAAATACCTTCACTATCATACGTATTTTATACTTATTGTAAAAAAAATATTTTATAGATTGTATAGTTCAGTAATAAATAATAATAAATTAAATGTCAATAGTCTACATTTTATTCTTTTTGCAAGTTGGTTATTAATGATTATTAATTATAAATATTCCTACAGATAGTAACGGCCATCCGTTTGTTAAAAAAAATGATACAACAAAAATAAAAAAAAAACCTTTGGGCATTAAATCATTGTTTTTGAAATGTTATTTACACATCATTTATTCGCAAATTTTTTTTATATAGATATAATGTACACTAAATGAAAATATGCCACAATTTTTTTTTTTTTCATCTCAAGGCAACTATCGAACTATTGTATTGTCGCATGTATTGTTTCCTTTCGGCGGCTCTTACTCTTAATCGTTTAATTAAATTAGAATTTTCCTAAACCTTCACGGCCAGTTACAGTCGTTTAATACGTTCGAATAATTGTACTGATCGATTTATCGATCGATCGACAATGGCGCGATGATAACGATAACGACAATAATAACAATCTGTCGATCGTGTAAAATATCGAATATCGATTTTCAATACATTCTATCATACTCACACCAAGTTGACGCACAGCCCGACGGCGGACGTGATGAGCATGATGTCGGCGTCGATCGTGTACGTCATGTCCGTGAGACGCTCGACGGCCAAGTACAACAGCACGCCGGTGACCACCCAGATGAGGAGAACAGACGTGAGGGCGCCCAACACTTCGGCCCTGTACCACCCGAACGGCATCGACTGCGTGGCCGGTCTCGAGGCCACCCATATGGCGCAGAGCGATATCATGAAACTGGCGAAGTCCGTGAGCAGATGTGACGCGTCTGTCGCGATCGCCAAACTACTCGACAAGTACCCTCCTGCTCGACGTGATACGATTTAATTACTGACGACACGGACGGAACAACAACAACAATTGGGCAACTTACCGACTCCCTCGCCGACCATGAACAACAGACATAGTACGCTGGCAAATATGAGTTTTCTTCTGGCCTTCTGACTGCTCGACGTACTCTCTCGGTTCGGATGACAGTGTTCGTTGACTACGAATTACAAACGGGTTCGCTGTTATTGGGATGCGGGTTCGAGGTTTAAATACTGATTTTACACTAATACCTAATAATATAATGTTAACCGGCAGATTTTGGGCATAAGGCGTAAAATCTAACGAGCCAGCGACTTAACGTGTGACACGATGAGCTTTGTGGGGTGCTAAGACGTGATAGTGTTTAAATTAAAATAATAATAATTCTTCGATCATATTATATACATATAAATATATGTTTTATATTCTGCGAATACGTTTTATTTAATATCTTCATGTTTGGGTTTATTATATTATATTATATGATACGGAGAGATTTTCCAAGCATCAACGCCCATTTTTTCTTCAATAAAGTATAGTTATTTAGAATTTATTTTTTTTTTTTGGAAATCGATTACTCAGAAATGTAGAAACGAGTTTTTGAAAACAGAAATTTATATTTCCACAGAACACTTCTTGTGCGCTATAAAAATTCTCAAAATTTTTAAAATATCTGTCTTAAGCAATTCCTTGAAAAAATTCAACAAAAGTTCTTACGTTTTCTTTCGTTTAAATGTTCTATAGCAAGAGAACCCCATTTTTCGTACACTCCACTACTATCAATTATTAACCTTGAAACTTTAGAACAACGTCGTTTGCGATTAGATTTGTATTTTTCGTATAAACTTTTTTCAGGAAATGTAGACTGCCCTGAGTTCCTAAGTCGTTTCTCCTTCCATGCCCCTACTCGTAACTCCCGGTCTAAAAACACTTTTTATCTAAACACAGAAGTAACTAATTATGTAACCAATACTCCCCATCATAGAATTATGAAAACTATAAATAAATTAAATATTGATCTGTTCATATCACCAAACTTCTATTCATTCAAAAATTATTGTAATTTCTTACTTCGTAATTCATAGCTATAAGTATATTAATAATAATTAATATTTTGCTTTATTGTTTTTCTCTATAAGTATTCTGTTATTTGTATATTATTTTAACGATCGATTGTTTTTTATTATTATCATGTATGTAATTGGGCCTGGCCCGTTTAAAATTTAAATAAATAAATAAATAAATATGGCTTTTAAGAGGACGCTAAACAGGACATTTTTGTCTCCGTCTTACTATTGCGTAACATAGCAAATGTACGCTCAGAATATCAGATTTAGCTTCATTAGTTTAAAAATTGAAGTGAATTCACCTAAAATGAAACTTGATGGATAAGAATATTTTCTGTGTTTGTGTGCGAGTTTTTACGATAGTTCAATTTTTTAAATGAGTTATGATAATTTTTAACTTATTATATTTTACATATGCAAAACTTGCTAAAAAAATTGAAACATCGTATAAAACCAACATACAAACAGATTATCTTCTTATCATCAAGTTTTATTATAGATCGGTTCACTCTAATTTTTAAACTAACGAAACTAATTTGCTGAATGTAAATTTGCTATGTTCGCAATTTTAACTTATAAGGCAGAGGCAACAAATATCTGTGTAGTGTCCTCTTAAGTAAAAATCAGCATTTGAATAAATTCAATATTAAATTAAAAATGGAAGTGAACATTCTTGGTGAATCACTCTGTATATATGTATTAAAGAATTTAAATATTTCGTATCATAAGAAAATTAGTGTCTTACAAAAAAAAACAAATTAAAATTATAATATTACTATAATATTGCTTACAGTAGCAACCATAATATTGTACACACATTTTACAACTCATAAGTAAATGTATAAGCTTTGCTTTAAAGGTTAGTTTAGGTTAGATTATTTTCTAAGATTTTTCTTCCTTATAGGTCTTTAATTTTTTAATTTGACTAGGAAAGAATAAAGAAGTCTTTCTTTTTCCAAACATAATGATGTATTACGTATACAATATATGAATTATATTGATAAAAATTAAATAAGAAAATATAGAAACTTAATACAACTAAATAAAACATGATAAATTCCAAATTTTTTTACACAAACACTCGTCCCATTTGTGTTCCAAGATAATTATTCATTTTAAACAAATTGAAAAAAACCGCAATAAAATCGGTGCAGTCGTTAAGGCGTTTCACAATACTCACACACATGACGGCATAACCGTTATGTAGGATTTAGTTTGATTTAGTAATGATCATATAATAAACTCGTTCCATTGCTTGCATATCCAGAATTTTTATTTATTATAAAAATGGTCTTTTAATGAAATATATTATCAGAATAAAAAATAGATATATTGCATTAAATTATCAATAAATTTGTTACATTCGTTTAATCTAATCTGGTGTTGTAACTATATTATATATTAAACATTATACAGTAAACAGTATATTTTTAATAAAATGTTCAATAGTTTAAAGTGTTATTCAAAACACTTTGCAACTTGATATTTAATTTGTTTTGTTTTTTTAATAATGCTTAAATCCTAATGAATGATTAAAATACTAGAAAATTTAAATTTTTTCACATTAAAATATATTACTTATTATTGGTTTTGGTTATTGGTACATGGTATTGTAATATGCCTAAATTATTTCATATAGAACAATACATTGAGCATTTTCTACGTAGAAATAATTTTTTTTTTTTTCATTAATATAATTTTTTTATGATCATTTAAAAATAGTTTATTTCTATGAATTCCAAAATTATTGTCTCATTATTAATACTTATATGAAGAAATTTAATAAAATTGCGTCTCCAGGTTTGTTGATTCATTATTTAATATTTTTAATAACTATAGACGTTTATCTATTTATATGTATTATAAAATATGTATGTAATTTGTTAGCTAGACCATTGACTGGCACTTACAGATTGTAATTGATGATTTTCCGTCTATCGGGTCCGGGGTTTCGTGGTTGGAATTGCTGTCGTCGGCAGATACCAGAGTGGCGCAACAGCCAGACGGTTTGCCATGTATACAGTAAACTTTACCAGAACTGTTTGACGGTTGCCGTACAAAAGCTCCAGTCATTGTTGGTGTCGTGCTCATGAACACGTCTTCATTAACGGACCCGTACTTGGAACTTTCACCTAACCTGAAAAAAAATCAAAACGATAAATATTATTTCACAATGTTATGATGAACACGGCGCGCATATCGAAATATCAACGTTTATTGACATTTTATCAAATAAAAACCGTATATATCGTGACAATAAACGAATAATATAATGCACAAGAAAAAACTTGTGTATATAAAACGGATAGATTCAAATACTAGAACATGACGCGTATAATATAGTAACGGAAAATATTAAATATTAAAGCATTTGCGCGATCGTTTCTTACAGTGGAAGAAATTCGTTTTCCATGGCGCATTAGGATCGGTAATTCACTGTGTAAAACTGCAGCAAAACCGATATATATATATATATATTTATAATAATAATTATATTATTATATTATTATTATTGCCAAGACCGAAGAACTTCGATGTACAATGATAGAACGAAACACTTTGCGCACAATCGCAATATAGCGTAACAGTTATCTACGTTATGCTACAATCGAAATTGAATTAATATTCATTTCGAGACAAGAAATGCGTTCAACAAGTTCCATTTTTCAATAACTACTATATTTACCGATGGAATTGGTCCGATAAGCATTCTAATATTTAATATATAATAAAGTAGAAAAAAAAAATATTTAAATTGTTTTCTATGTTGTTATCTATACTAATTATGATGACACAACCCTGGAGGGGGTTTCGATTCCACCCAAGAACTACGTTGCCGTTGTGCTCGAGATTTGAGATTAAAACACACCTGTCGGTATTATAACAGTATTAATACTATATTTGTTTTGTATTATTTGAGATTATTTTCATTCAGATCCGAATAAGTATAACAGTAAATAAAACTTTACAGTGGCTCTCAAATATGCTTTTCTTACTTTATGTAGGTAATATTTTAAGTAACGCGGCAACGCATCGCGTATTTTTAGAATCCACATGAAAATGATATATGATACGAATAACCTTTGGTTTTCATTATCAATACTGTTTGGCCCGTTTAAATGTTTATCTTAAAATTTTAAATTAGTTTCTATTTTTTTTTCACATAAATTAAACAAATCTAAATAATGATACTGATGTACCTATATGTAAACCGATCAAATAATTTCTAAAGAAAAAAAATATAATAAATTATTATTATACTATTATACTATTGTTTAAGGGTGACGACTGTGTACCTAATATTTGTTTATTTAAAAGTATGAACTATAAATAACAAATAAAAAAAATAGGTGTATGTGTTATTGAATGACAATAGTATTGTGTTCATGAATAAATTATAAATTAATAATTATTCGTCGTACAAAAACGATAAAAAAATAATAAATGAGTTCAACAGGTATTACAAGTATTAGTACATTAGTACTCGAATAATATTTTGCACTTTGTATTTGACTTTGTCAATGTCATAAATGTTATTATTGTATATAACGAACTAAAAACTCTATTGTTTATTTAAATAAAATAATAAATAAATAAATAAGAATAGTGTGGCACTTGTGTTATAAAGTACATTTAGCTTCTTGTATTTTAATGAAAAAACTGTTAATTTTAATTAAAAAAATTAAAAACAATATTAACATACTTAACACTTATAATAATACTTGTACTTAGTATTATATTTGATATAGTGTTTTAAAAATGTAATGAATACAATATAATATTTATTTGAATGTTAAACTCTATCACAGTGTATACCTACTCATTTTTGTAAGAGAAAAAATGTATAATATTTTACTTATAATTAAACATATGATTAAGAGTTATTACTTCAAAACTATAAGTATTTGTATAATATAGAAACAAATATTTAAATTATGGACTATTATAGCATTAACTATCATGAAGTAGGTAAGTATTATTATAGATTAATATTAAAAAGAATCTTTATAGTAAATACTAATCTTATAAGTAAAAGTATACTTGGGTGTATAATAGAACAATTAGATAAATAAAAATAGTTGATTGGTATACAAATCAATACCTAGAGCCATAAAAATAATAACTAAGAAAATAAATGTTTTTATTTAAGTTAACTATAGAGACTAGGTATGCATTTTATGAAAATTGATATAAAGTAATAGGTATATAATATATATATATATATATATATATATATGTATCAAAATGACCATTAATTTAAAAACAACTATTACATAAATTACACATAACAATGGCCCAGTTAATAATAGTGTTAAAGCTTTCTGTACATCGTAAAGGTTTTGTAGCCTAAGCTACCATTTAAATAATAAGTTCGTAATAAAACAATCCAAAATCGATTAGTTCAATGATTAGATCGTGATACTATGTTTTCAAAATATCTCGTATTCGACATTGGATTTAATAGTCCATGACCAAAATTTCGACAGAAATTTTTATATTAACTTCAGACACTAACCTTGACCGGAAACGTCAACGCTACGCTAATTTTCATTTGCATAAAGATTTTCAAAGGATTTGAGAAAAATATAAATAATTAAATTAAAGGTAATTTTAATAGTATTCTAAAGAGACTCATGACACAAGAAGGTAGATTATTATTACTTTTGTAGTTTTAATATTTTAATAACTAATTATGTGTAAATTGAACATTTTACGAGTGGTTTGTATTTAAAGAAACAAAAATTTAAAAAATATTCCTATTTAGTATTATATAAGGTATGTAGATACTTAGTGTTCTACTAAACGCTAACATTATTTGCAAAATATTTACGTACATATGATTTAATACATTAATTTTAAATTTAATTACATCAATAATTAGTACAATTGAAATAATATAAACAAATAGGCAAATACAGTTGTTACACATTAAAAACAAAATGTGATAATACTTGTTTAATAATTAATAAAATATTTACATAATACTACAAATAGCAACATTAGAGTAGTTAATAGTCAATACAAGGTTATTATATTTGAATAAAAAAAAAGATTTTATAACAGTATTTTTATTCAAATTATTATTTATTATTATATAATTTAAAATATGACTAGGAAACATTTTATTTTATTAGTTTAAGTAAATGCCATGTTATTATTTCATAATTTAAATTTAATTATCTTAATAATATAATACTTGTATTATATTGTAAAACATGATATGGTACAACATTCGTAAAGGTAATGCAAAGATTATGATATCAACATTTTAATATGTCTATTGTATATTATAAGCTTTTTAATCATATCTATATATATATATATTTATAATTCGTTTTATAAAAATTACTTACAACTCAATAAATGTATATTTAACAAAGACGAAGAGAGAATATGAAAGATTCATTATAAATACAGACAGATTTATGCTGCGTCTACTCAACTTCTTGCTTTAACTAATAGCTATATTATTGTTTTAAATTTAAAATTACATTTTTTAAATTTAATTAACTGTAATAAATCAACTAAAAATTTTCATATCTTGATTATCAAACTAATTAATACTATCGTTGAAAATCAAGCGCATAACTTTGTTTGGAGAAGGACGAGCCCTGTTCTCTGAACTTTGTGATGTTTCGTACTTATGTTACAAAATATACATAATTCTTAAATTCTCACTTAAAACTATCTCAAAAAAAAATTTTATTATTTTAACTATCTATTAAGATTATATTTTTGAAATTACTTTGTATGTAATATTTTCAGCTATTTATAAGGTTTGAATAAAATTATACTATTATTAGTAAGCACTTTTTATAAAACTATATTTAAGTATTTAAATAAAACAATTATTTAAAAGTTAGCTTCTGCTGATTTCTATTATGACTTTTGGTTATTGTTTATAAGATTAGAAACTTAGTTAAGAATCACAATGACTAAGCATAGACTTATTATTGGTTTAGCACTTTTAAATATACAACTTCGTACACCGCAATGAATATATTAACGTAAATATAGTTTTTTGAATGCTTTATTTAAAGAGCTATAGATTTTATTATTTAGAAATATTTTAATTTTATTATACTGTATTTTGTATATATGAAACATTTTATAAATAAAAAATTGTAGTTATATTTTTAGCAATACATTTTATATTCTAAGTCTACTTTGTTAATAAAAGTCAAAATAATTTCAAATTCAAAGCATTGTTTTTTCTTTAATCAGGATGGTGTTTTTAGTAAAAACAATTCCTTTTTTTATTATTTAAACTTTGTCAAAAATAAATAAATATATATTAAAAGATTGATTGAAATAACATATATAAAATTTATGATTTTCTACTAAATATATATATACATATATTTATATATTTGTAAAATACAAAAGATTTTTGTACTAAATAAAAAGCATAGATGACTGATCAACAATCACTATACGCTGAATATTTCTCACAAAATAACCGAACAATGTTATATAACCACAAACTATCATAATTATTAAAAATATATCGTATATGAATTATAATAACTGTTCGTATCCCATTATTTCACCGTAATTAAAAAAAAAAAAACATTTAAATTTTAAACAAAAAGCTACATGTTACTTTTATAACAAAATAATGTCATGAATTCATAATATTAAGTTATCATGAATACCACTTCAATAATTATAATTAGTAAATTATTATTCTTAATTATTTACCAAAAATATAAAATTATTTACTTTAAAATTAATGTCATGCTTAAAAAAGTTTTTATCAGCAAACAATTACTTAAGTTATTAAATTTAATACACATGAACAATGTGATTTATGAAAGTATTAACCTTATTTCAAGACTCATCCAATTTACAAGAGCTCTCTGTATACTATTATTATTTATTATAATACAATCTATAAATATAAATATAAATATTAGCAAAAGGATCATTTCCTCGAAATATTTAAAGATTACTTAATCTTAAACGAAAGTCAAGGATGAACACTTACTTTCAACTAGTTTAAATTAGGCTAGTTAAAATTAATAAGTAAAAGTATTTAAAGATTACAAATAAATAGTGTAATAAAAAGATCTTATGCTATTTTCTCCTTTTTTATATCGGTTAAATACATAATTACTATTGAAAACAATACTTTTA